CTGCTGAATGCTGCTTTTTAAATATCCTTTTAAAAACATAATTTTCTTGCAGTTGTTAATGATGGAATTGATCCACCATGAATCATTCTTTTTCACGGGATCAAATTTGTATGGATTGGGGAAAAAAACAACAACAAAGAGTGTTGGAACTGAACTGGTGGCAACACCTGTTCTTTTACTTCCACTCTGCAGTGTCTGACAATCACACCTCCCCTCACCAATTACCTGCTTTCCTGTGAGTGCTCCCCATCATGTGAGTGCTTTTCCACGTTTTATTATACATTTCCGTAAGGGAGAAACTCGCATTAACTGGGCCCTGTGTTGCTCTCGTGTTCCCATCCACCCTGTATCTGTCACCAGTGGCCTCAGAATAATCAATGTTAGAGGGTTTTACAGCTTGATATTTTAAAATTTTTCAAAGAACTGTTTGATTAAAAGAAAATTAATTTTATACATTTAAAAAGAGAAAAGTTTAGGAATATGAGTTTTCTTTCATTTTATATGAAAATATATTTCTTTCATCTTATTTATTAGGAATTGGAGGAAATTTCCATTTTGGATGTAAGGAGGACACACACAAATTCTTAAGTTTGACCATTAAAGCTTTGCAGAAAACTTGCTTAAATGGAAACACCAGGTAAGCATTAAAGAAAAACCTTTAAAATGACCTTTAGCCCCAGCTACTCCTTTATTTACTGTGATAAAATCCCATATTTTCATAAAAAGTAAAACCTTGAGCCGGTAACTCTGTGCCTTAAGTCCTCTGAGGTCTGTTTATGATTTCTGTGCATGCTGGACAGGCCCTGTCAAACCACCAGCCCAGCCCTGTCACGGCGCTGCTGTGCAAACAGGGGAGCACGAAGGTGACGGGGCCGCGCTGGGAGGCACCGGTGTGAGGGCTGTGAGCGGCAGTTCTTACAAGGCTGGAGAATTCCAGTACGTCATTAACGCCGTGCATGTTAATTAGCTTCATCATCGTCTTGTGGAAGGTCAGTCTTTTTTCAAAAACAGTGGGTCGAAAGTAGGATTTCCAGAAGGACGGAATCTGACCTCAGAAACGCCACTTCGGCAGTTTGTTTTCAGAGAGAACTGAACCTCTCTCTCCCGCAGCCTGGGGACGGACTAGGGACAGCGGAAAAGGAACTGTTAAGTTCTGTCTTTTCCCAGGATTCATCTTACTTTTAAATAAATTAAGTAAAACAAACCAGTGAGACGTAGTTTCATGAGGAATGTCAGGACAGGGAATGCAAATACTGTCTGTCAGGTGTGGAGATGACTGATGGAAGCCTTCAGTGCTCAAACTGAATCTACCATCAAAACCAACAACTTTTTACTATCAAAACCGACATTTTTTTTATGATCAAAACCGACATTACGGATCTGGACCATCGGACCCACCTCCCCGGTATTTCCCCCCCCGTGGCATTAGGGGCTTCACCTCAAGCACGGTCCGTGCGCTGCCCGCAGGAAAGCTCTGCAGCGAGACCGGGCAGAGCAGTTACATGTGAGCGGGAGAACAGCAGCAGGACCACGGAAACATCTGCCACAAATTGAACAACAAAAATAAAAGGTTTGTGCTTGTGGGGAGTTTTCCTGCACCAGGTAATCGATGTGTAAGGTTTCATTTGCTAAGAAAAATCAGGCTGTCGGTTCGTGGTTTCAGTTTCAGCTGCTCAAGCACAGATCCGAAAAATCGCCGTTAAGAAAACAACAAAAATAGTGACTTTTTCCGTACGTTCAGTTTGTTACCAAGCAAAGGAATGAATCCTGCTTGGATTAATCCTGTCTAGGGCTGTGTCTTACAGGGAGGTGTCACCTTCCTGGATCTCCCGTTTCAAAGCATCAAATGCCTGTGAATGTGTTCGGGTGTTTTCACGTGCAAAGCCTAAACTCGCACCAGCCCTGTCATCTTACTCCTTTCCTAGTAACTTAGTGTTGCTTAAGCCACAACAAATCTACAACATGAGAGAGGTTTTGCTGAATAAAAAGCAGATTAACCCAGTCATCAAATCTCACTGCTGCTCGCGAGTGAACGAGCAGGCAGGAATGAGTTTGATCCTGCGGGCAAACACCGCTCCCCATCCGTGCTTAGCGCAGGGTCTGCAGGCTCAAACTTTTGCTGCTTGGACCTGTACGTATTTCAGTGCAGATCAACCAAGCCCTTTGGTATAACTAGTTAACTATGTAGCTGACAGTCTACTGCTGAGTTGCATTTCTGAAGGAAAGGAAAAGCTATTTCCATAAAGGTAGGAGTGAATCCTAAATGAAAGCTGCATTCAGCTGTTGCTCATTTACTGTGAAACACACAAGACTTGAAAAGTCATATTGAGACTGGGTTTTCTGTGCCCAAAAAATTTTAAGTGCCCGGTGCCCCTGCCCCTCGCCTGCAGAACCGCCTCCCGGCTCGGGCTGCAGGAGGGTTCATTTCGCGTTCCTGGCGTGGTGCCGGGATTAGTTGTTACCGACAGTAAAACCGGCACAGCGCGTGTGTGTTCGGGCTGTTTCCTCCTTCGCTCTGTTCCTTTGGCTCTCAGGAGCGCTGCCGTGTGGAAGTGCAGCCTGGAGCTGAGAGATGTAAACGTGCCTGCTCTTCGGGTCTGTGCTGGAGTGGTTTTCTGCTGCTCCTTCTTCCTGCCGAGACCTTGTTGTGTTGCTGAAAATGTTTTGTAAGGAGTAAAGGCACAGCCGTGTCCCCTGGCTGAACGCAGCCTGTGAGCGGGACCTTGTCTGAAATCTTCTGAGCTGTGACTTAAAAAATAATGAAAATGCATATACAACTGTAGTGGATTAAATTCCTATTACAGTGTAGGAAATGTTATCTGTCACCATCTCTGCAGCAGTTAAAAGTAATAGTGATAGAGTTTTGATGGAAGATTCTGCCTTGTCAGTTTATTTCTGGGTTCTATGGTTGAGTTTTGTTGGTTTAGTTTTTTTGTTTGTTTTGTTTTGTTTTTTAAAGATTCCTACCAGCTATTTAGTTACTTGAATTATTTCTTTGCGACGTAGTGACAGAATTTCTCCTCTTCTTTTACCTCTGCAGTGCTTCTTGACATTCTTCTGTCGACCAGAACTTTCCCTCTGTTACAGTTAAAGAGGCACTACGATTAAAAAATACCATCTCACACTGCAAACTTGGACTGGGCAGCATCAGGAGATCAAAAACCTTTTGCCCAAGGAGATCTAGGTAAGTGTGTCTTTTGTGTGTCCCCCCTTCTTTTCCTTAAGAACAGAGGTAGAAAATGCAGTTCTGATGGTTGCAGTGCTGTAAATGGGACTGTGGCCAGTGCAGACTTCAGGTACTCTGCAATGTTGTGAGTGCCCTCAAGCAACTGGAACTGGTGCAGCAAAACTAATTTTTATCTTTTTGCAGTCTATTTGTAACTCAGTTTTGATCTATTTACAATCAGTTATGGGGAGCTTTTTATAAAACAGGCTTACCTGGATCTTTTCTGTTATGCAGAGAAAAATACATATTCCCACTGCTATTCATGGTTTCCATCATTCACAAGCCTTTGAATGATAACACTGCTGAGGAAGAGATCTGATCTCTGTAGGGTTACTTCTGTGCTGGTTATTTGCTTCTTGTTCTTCGTTCTTATATTCATTTACAAAATCACAAGTGTAAGTTTGTGGTTTACGTGGAATAAAAAAGCGGTGATTGAGTTAATAATCAGATTAGAGCCTATAGGTGGAAAGAAGCCTGGCAAAAATTACTCAGATCAGCGTGGTAGTTTGTCCTGTGTTAGAAGAATTAGAGCAGATGAATGAACTGTTGTCCAGAACTGTGTGTGGACCAGCCAATCCCAGGGGCAGCGTTACAGCTGTGCCTCACGTGGTTCTGTGCTCTGCAGTGCAGAGGGTTCTTCTGGGCACTCATGCAAAATGCTGCTTTTTAAATATCTTTTAAAAACAAACCCAATCAATTTATTTCAAAATATGCTTTTCTTGCAGTTGTTAATGATGGAATTGCCCCGCCACAAATGATTCTTTTTCCACCGGAGAAAATTTGTATGGACTGGGAGCAAACACAAAGTGTTGGAGTTGGACTGCTCAATCTTGGCAACACCTGTTTCCTCAATTCTACTCTGCAATGTCTGACCTACACGCCTCCCCTCGCCAATTACATGCTTTCCCTTGAACACACCCAGTCGTGTGAGTACTTTCCAACATGACTGTACATCTGTGTGACAGCTCGAAAGGTGAAAGAGCACCAGTGATTCTGTGAAGGAAACTCTTTAGTTGTCTTATTTTATCTGTAGAAGCTGGTTTGCAGCATGGTCTTAAAGGTCATTTCCAACCCAATGATTCTGTGTTTGTATTAAGAGGAGGCTCAGAACAGCATATAAAGTGCATTTGTTCATTTAATGCACCATGGGAAAACTTGAAAACAAGATCATTTCTTGTTTCACGTGAATACTCAAGTGCATTGTAATGTAAGGAATTAGGTGAACATTTGGCACTTGGGTTTCCTGCTGGTAGAAACGTGATAAATGTTACGATGTTGGCATCATTCTGTCTTTTCAGCCTAGATAGTGTAATGAACTAAAATTGTCAGAACTTGTGAGCTTACAGCTGACACACTTAAAAACCACCAGCAGCAGCCTAGAAAGCACTTGGAGCTAATCTCTTATGGACACCAACAGGCCTTTGTGTGGGACTGTATTAACAGTTTGACAGATTTTATTCTGAAGAAAATTCTGTATTTTTTAAGCCCTTGAATTTGTTATTATTTCATTTTTATACTTGAATTTATTGAAGCCTAGGACCCCGTTTTCATAACTATGGATGTGTATTTTACAGAGGCACCTGTGTGCTTGCCAGCCTGGGATCTTAGTATTTATTCCTAGAATCACAGAATCATTTGGAAGTGAATGGATCCATATTAATGAGCATTTAGCAACCTCTGGTGGCTCATTGACCATTGCCTTACATAGTTCTAGGATTGCAAAATCTGTGGGCAACCTGCACCACCCTAATCCTAAACTATGCTTAGGGAAAGCACAGGGAGTTCAGATGTCCTGTAATGCTGGTCACTAGCAAAATGTTTCTCCATAGGCAAGAAGGTTGAACATTTGTATAGGCTGTCATGGCAGAGGAAGGGTAAGACAACTCTAATAAGCACCTCACATCTGAACTGTGTGATCTATCAGAGATTTGGGGCCAGTTTAGTCACACATCAAGCCAGAAGTCTCAGTCTTTTTTTTTTTTTTTTAGTTTAAAAAGAAAGGTGTAGCATATGGCTGTATCATTTCAATTGCTGGTAAACATTTCATTACTTTTAAGTTTTTCCTAATTGGTGTTTTCTATGTCTTTGAATTCTTGTACTAAAGATCTAAAGATCACTGCCACAGAACTTTGTGTCTAATTACAGGTTTCATAGAATTTTATAGAACACTTTTTTTTTTTAAATTAAGTTCTGTATGGGTCTCTTGTTCACAGGCATTCTCCATCAGTTTGGAATTCTCAGCCTTGTACAAACCTTATTGTGTCAGTAAACACCATTCAAATAACATAAGCATGTGTGAGAGATGAAAACTTATGTTTGATTTGTGGGAGGGAAAATAATGTGCTGTTAAACATGTGTCTGTGCTTGTTTTGAAGGTGTGAAAAGATGGTTTCTGCAACCAAGAGTTGTTCCATCCATCGCTCTCCAAATGTTCTGATCCTGTCACTGAAAAGGTTCACAAATGACACTGGTGGAAAGATCAACAAGGTAGTATTTACAGCTGTAATGAAACTTTTATCTTCTTGGAATGGGAGGTTTCCCAACGATGAATACTCATGTAAAAGCTGCTCATGTTTGCAGGCAGTAACTCTAGACTCGTAACTGTAGTCTACGAATACAGTCAGGATCACAGCTCTGGCATCTTTCTTTGGTTATAGGGAGAAAATTCCTCTGTGACAGTGACAGACTTCACTCTTGAAGAGCTCATTCTGTAGAAAACAGCCTGTGCAATGTAACATTAAATGCTGTTGATAATAGTTTTTTATAAGTGAATAAAAATATATATTAATATAATCCTAGTTTGTGTTTTTATAAGTGATTTTCTTAGGTTATTCCATGAAAAATTTCAGGATAATGTTTTAATCTTCTTGGTCTGTCCTTAGGAAGTAAAATACCCTGAATATTTGGACCTCCGGACATACATGTCCCAATCAAGTGGAGAACCACTCTGGTACAGAGTATATGTGGTGCTGGTTCATAAAGGCATGGAGTATGGGGCACTACATCTGCTACATAAAGTTGGGTATCAGCTTGATTTCTAACAGAGTAAATCAGTGCTGACAAAGAAATTGTTCCTGGTAAGCACTGTTTTTAGGACAAAAGGGAGGATTATGGGTTTGGTGTGCAGTGTTGTATCTGACATCTCCTTCAGAAAACAGATCATCAGGAACTGAACGAAAGTGCATCTGCTGGAGTCTTCTCCAGCCAGCAGGTGGCAAACTCGTTTTTAAAAAGCCAGAGAAAAGTGCAGTAAGAAAGTCAGTGTCTGGCATCTCATGACACAAGTCAGGGGCATGAAGATCACGGGGCCGTGCAAGTGAACGAGGTGTTTCATTGATCCACACGAAAGCAGCGCCCCGCTTGGATGCACCAGGGGGATGTGAGGGCTATGAAAAGTAGTTCTTACAAGTCTCGAGGATTTCAGTATGATCTGATCCTCCCCCTCACTGCCGCCTGACTGAAACTCGTGGAAGGGACCTGACAAAAGAACTCCTTAGTTTAGGGTGGCTCTCAAGGGAGACCAGCTCGTGATGGAAAACCACTCATAGCTGGAGCACACTTGACTGGGACGATGTACTTTGTTTGGAAGGTTTTTCTCTCTGCAAATGCAAGCCTGATCCTATGAATCTAAAGGCAGGGAAAAGAGACCTTTTCCTGACACCAGCAGCAATGGCATGTGCTGTATAACTGAACCTTCATCTCTAAAGAAAGAAATCAGCAAATGCCTCCCATGCATTCTTGATAAATGAGGAGCTATACAGCAGGATAGCTTGACTCTTTATTGTTGTGAAAATCTCCAGACTTAAGCAACTGGTCATAATGATAAATGGAAACATTAATATTGCAGTGGATTTACATAGAACATCACATCTTTACCAATGATTGATACGGAGCATTTGCCATGCAAACCACTGGTATACACCAAGTAATACTTGTTTCAATACATACCTGTACAATATTTACATTTGGTATTTAAACTCTAGCTAGAAACATTTTCCAAGAAAATAGAGCAATTGGTAAGCCACAAGTCTCCATTTGTAGCATTTGGTCTACAACAGACCGAGCTTTTCCAGCAAGCATATCTACATAGATATGTAATAACTCTTAAAAATATGCATTGTTTTCATAGAGGAAGCATTAGAAATGCTGCTCAGTTGACAAGGTTCGGTTTTGTACCAGTTTAAAACAGTTCAAAAGGTGAAGTGACAGCTTGTTTTGTCAGCATATGGTAAAATCTAAGTCAGTCCAGCTGAGCTCAAGTATTACAGACACTTCTCTCCCTCAACTGCACTGGCAGCAGGGCTGATGTTAGAGGCCCCCTGGGTTGGACGCTGAGTGAAGCCCCTCCCGTGGCAGGAGCAGCAGTGGCTCTTTTGCTGGCCCCCAATGCTGGAAGGGCCCATGTTAGAAACAGGTGAAAAATTACACAAGTTTCTGTGCATCAGGAAGGGAGAAGTCTGCTGTGCCCAGAGGACTTCTCTTCAGCCTGGCCAAGCCCTAACAGATACTGCTGCAGGCCACCGAGCAGCTAGTCTGAGTAGCCACCCCTGGGCTGGAAGCCCATTCAGAACAAGGGAAAGGTTGAGAGATTTATGTTCCCCCTCCTGGATAGTACCTGATTTGGCCCAAATTTTCAGAAGCCACTTTGTTTTACTGGCCTCGTGGCCAGTGGAAATTCCAGGCCAGTTTCACTCCCTGTTAACACTGTTCCAAGGAACATCTGAAACCAAATCTCACAAACAAGAATGCTCTTCCATTAGCTCTGTTAAATTAAATACATATATTGAGCACCACAAAGAGCTGCTAACGACGCTGCATTTAATGCTGAGAAAAAAATCTGTTTCTGGCTCTAATACCTCAGTTACATGTTACTCTGAATAATTATTTCTGCTGGTTATAAGAACTTCAAACTGAATACAACAAATGAACTATCAAGGTGTCTCCTTCATGCTTATTGTAGATATCCTCACCCAGTTAAAGGAGATTTTCTTGAAGGTGACATCTCAGAAGATAAGAACTGACACCAAAGTGCTTCATGGCTTATTCATGCTTTTGTAATCTGACATTTCTCCATCAATACTTTATTTGCTGCTTTTCACCTTGACATTCCTCAGTACCACTGAGCATCACTGGCGCATCACTGCTGGCATCACAAATCTGTTTGCCCAAAGCTCAACCTCACACTTGCATTACCTGACAACAGAACTGGAAACTGCTGAGCAGAAGACCCAAACCCAGCCCTGACATTGTGCTGCTTTGCAAACACAGGACATACAGTTCAAGTCTTTTCTAAGAGTTAAAATGTGTTCCATTAAGCAAAGATACTCACACACTGACACTTGAGGATGCTACCTCATTTGGTGGAGTCTGACTCCCTTTAAAGTACTTGGATTTGAATGGTCATCCAAGCAGACTTCAATTCCACACACTAGGGACACTCTAAGGTGTAAAGAAGTTTCCTTTGTTCTTTTCCTCTCAGCCTTTTTTGCCAACATGCAATAAAGCAGAACACTCACAGGCTCACACTCCATGCAAAAGAAGGACAACTTAATAAGATGGAGCAAAGAAACTGACTCTCCCTTACAGTTTAAGGGAGATATGAAATATACTTTGCCATTGCATCACATTTACCTATAATGTAGCCAGAGATGCTTCTGTAACTCAAACAAGCAAAATAGCTTTGACGAAGTATTGGATCTCCAAAGCATTCATTGGCACAGTAGGCACGGCTCAGGTTCAATAAGTTGGTGAAAAAGTGAGTATGAACAGAAGCAGTAAGGTCCAAAAAAAGATTTTTTGCCCCCACCGTGGCATTAGGGGCTTCACCTCAAGCACGGTCCGTGCGCTGCCCGCAGGAAAGCTCTGCAGCAAAACCGGGCAGAGCAGTTTTCATGTGACCGGGAGAACAGCAGCAGGACCACAGAAAGATCTGCCACAAATTGAACAACAAAAATAAAAGGTTTGTGCTTGTGGGGAGTTTTCCTGCACCAGGTAATCGATGTGTAAGGTTTCATTTGCTAAGAAAAATCAGGCTGTCGGTTCGTGGTTTCAGTTTCAGCTGCTCAAGCACAGATCCGAAAAATCGCCGTTAAGAAAACAACAAAAATAGTGACTTTTTCCGTACGTTCAGTTTGTTACCAAGCAAAGGAATGAATCCTGCTTGGATTAATCCTGTCTAGGGCTGTGTCTTACAGGGAGGTGTCACCTTCCTGGATCTCCCGTTTCAAAGCATCAAATGCCTGTGAATGTGTTCGGGTGTTTTCACGTGCAAAGCCTAAACTCGCACCAGCCCTGTCATCTTACTCCTTTCCTAGTAACTTAGTGTTGCTTAAGCCACAACAAATCTACAACATGAGAGAGGTTTTGCTGAATAAAAAGCAGATTAACCCAGTCATCAAATCTCACTGCTGCTCGTGAGTGAATGAGCAGGCAGGAATGAGTTTGATCCTGCGGGCAAACACCGCTCCCCATCCGTGCTTAGCGCAGGGTCTGCAGGCTCAAACCTTTGCTGCTTGGACCTGTATGTATTTCAGTGCAGATCAACCAAGCCCTTTGGTATAACTAGTTAACTATGTAGCTGACAGTCTACTGCTGAGTTGCATTTCTGAAGGAAAGGAAAAGCTATTTCCATAAAGGTAGGAGTGAATCCTAAATGAAAGCTGCATTCAGCTGTTGCTCATTTACTGTGAAACACACAAGACTTGAAAAGTCATATTGAGACTGGGTTTTCTGTGCCCAAAAAATTTTAAGTGCTAGATCATATTCTACTGTAATTTTGGCGATGCATTTTAGCAAGAGATGCAAGTCTTTTAACCTCTCCTCCTTTTATGGGAAAAGCGCTCAAGTAAGTAGTATAGCATTATTAGCCTCAAATTCCGTCTGTCCCAACCCAAGTAAACTGGAGTTGTAACTAACATAAGTGAAAACAAGGCTTCCATGTTTTCAGTTGAATTAAGTTCCAATAATAATCCGCTGGGATTTGAAGCTTGCTTTAAATTTTATGCCCATAAATATTTACTCTGAAAGGTCTTGCCAGCTTTTCACGTCATAGTAAAGTGTATGTATTTCTAAAATGTACAGTCATTATCTTCATTTAGTTTGTCAAATTTTTACTTTATCACTCAACCACATGCTCATTTATAGGTTGATGCAGGTGTACAAGTTGCTGATCATGTTTTATTTCTTATTTGCAATTCTTCGTTTCCTTGTTGCCAGCATATCATAGAAGGGATCCCTGCTGATGCTTGCTCTAGAAAAGAAAAAAGGAAACATGAGTGTGATTAGCCAATATCTGGTTTTGAAAACTTAAACTATTTTGTTCTCTCTTCTCTGTGGATGAACTCCATGCTCTTAAGAAGGCAACAGATGGTTCAAATACTTCTTTAGAACAAGATACTGCTCAACTGTGATTTGTAAAGAGTTCACACCTTTATCTTCACCCTTACTTTTCTTTAAGTGAGGGTCTGCTTTATAAACCTTCCTAGATAAAGTGAAGCTGTGAAAGTTTAAAGCTGCACTGTGAACATACTTAAGACACGTATCACTGAAGTTAATTATTAGGTGAAGTAAGAATCTAATAAAATTAGGGTTTAAGAAATTCACACAAGGCTTTACTTTTGCTTAAAAAAAATATCTAAATTTTCCTTATTTGAGATAGCAGCACTATTTCCTTAGGACCAGACAGTAACAGGAGACTCCTGTCTTGATCCATCAACCTCATGTAGCTTGTCATTAATCCTAGAGGATGGTGCCACATCAGAATTCTTCACACAAGTTAGAATACAAATTATCTTAGTATCTTACTCTGAAAAGGGGTTACACTTCATTTCTGAAACACATTTCAGACTTTAAACTCACTTGATAGATTTAATCCACTCTTCCTTTTCCTCTGGGGTGGGAGCAGATATTCTATACACCACATGGTTCCCTTCCACCACTCTGCCATCAGCTTCAGTTTTACATGCTTTAATTACCTGACCTTTGTGACTGGGGTTATAGAGTTCAAAGCAGTTCTGGAGGACAGAAATAAAAAAATAAATTTAAAGGACAGAACATAACTGACAGACATCTTCATTTAACACTAGATCTAAGTTCTATATGGTTTACTTAATAAAAAAAAAAAAATTATTAACATATCTTACTGGTTTTCTAGGGTCTTCAACTTCTCTTATGCTAAGATTTTCTAATGGAATAATTCCTCTAGGTTCTTTGTCCTAAAAAATTAGGAAAATATCACATTATTACCCTCTTAAATACTTACATTACAAACAAAGCTCACTGTAATATATACTCACTGTTGTGTATTCAAAGTAGTACAGGCAATTATCAGTCAGAATAAACCATCTCCGTTTCCATGTTTTCACTCTTCCCCCTGCAATCAAAAGGTATGGCTGGATTAAACATGTTGCTGTCAAGGCTTCAGCAATGGATAAGAAAGTAATTTAGTTTTGCTTGTTTTTCAAAATATGGCTTAATTATTCAATTGTCAATGGATCAGGCACAGATGAGCCAAGATTAAAGGGGCCTGTTACTGTAACTCTTGCACTAAGATCAAACTCCTGAGACATTAACTATGGTGTTGCTGACCAGCCACAAAAAATGCATGCTCTCAAGTTGCAAATGTCTCCTCTCTTACAGAGAATGAGTGCAATACTTTAGCTCTAGGACCTGCTCCCTCTGCCCATGCCATCACAGCTGTTTACTGCATCAGAAGTATTGAAGCTATAGAGCCCTCAGTTGGTGGTGCTATGGCAAAGGGACGCCAGCCACCAGCAAAACCAGTAACTGGGATCCAGCAACAGGACCATCGCTCTCCATAGCCTGTCTTGTACAAGGAAATGGTCCCATCCATAAAATTAAGGGCATTATATCACCTTCCTTTCACTCCACTCATTAAGATCTCTACTTTCAGACTTAACATCAAGTTTGTCAGATGCTTATAGACATTAGCAGAAGACATACAATGTATGGTCAATATGGAGCAAATCCTATGTCAAAATGTACCATTGCTAGTCACTTTTAATAATTTAGTATTTTTAAAATATATTCTTTTTATGGGATAATATATCGAGTACACCTGATAATAAACAGCTACTGCTCCAAAAATTCCAATTTTTCCTGCATTAACACTTTAGACAACAGCAACCACAGAGCTCATCTTTCTTACACCTGCTAATGTCACAGTTTCTTTTAGAAACACACATTATTGTCTCAGTCCTTTCGCCTGGTTTTCTGCCATCAGCTTCTTCAGAACATGTCTAACATTCCCCAATTAACTTATTTTAAAAACTCATTTCCAGGAAAGACAACTGTAGATAAAGCATTCACATGTTATTAATATAAAGGTTTAGTTCCACCATAGTTATCTGACTTGGGGATTATGTCACCACCTGTGCATCATCCATTCAGCAGTAATTTAATCTCATTAACCCAACATTTCAAAATAGTCAATCTTCTTATTGAATATCCATGCATAAAAGAGTACCATTAATACAAACAAGATCACTAATTTGACCCAAGTCATATCACTAAATCTAAGACACCAGCATAATTTTTAAAATCTTTTTGCTCTACTTGAGATAGCTGGGGTTTGTTTAATACAGAAATTCAAACAATATTAAAGAACAAATCCAGGAATATAATGACATTTTTTTTAACCATCCCACTAGATGTTTTATGTGGAGTCTTCCTTTGGCTTGTTCCATTACCTACATGACAACTCAGTCCTAACAGACTATAATGTTCAATGTGCTCAGTAAACATTACATTTCCACTACACACACACGTATCTTAAGAAAAAATTTATCTGCAAGCAGGTACAGTGAAATTTGAGAAGGCAAAATAGTGCAAGATGCAGAAGCCGTGACAGAATGAATGGTTGAGTGAACTGGAAACAGTGAGGGAAGAACTGTTGGCATTCTAGTACAACCACTGTTGACAGATCCTTCAGTAAAGTATTGTAGAAACATTCAAACTGGCATGTAAGTCACTAGAAAAATGGCCATCACCTTTACTGAGAGTTGGGTCAAGTATCAGCAAGTATTTGGGCTAGGAATGGAAAGCTGAGGGACTTGGGTTGACTCAGTTCCAGATCAATGAATAAGCAGCAGCCAAGTCAAGACGACTGCTGGGGCCGTCCTTGCTATGGCCAGCACATGACATGGTTCATTGCCATGACTTTAAGTCATGTTCTGCTCTCTTAGTTAACATAATTCAACATTTTTATGATACAAAGTCATCACCATGCTTTTCAGGCTAACAGGTAACATCAGCCAGCATCAAATGTCATGGCTTGCCCAGTTCTAGTAGAAAAACAATTCAACAGGAAGGAGGATGAAACAAAAAGGCAAACCGTTTGCTATCATAGAGGCAGCTTAAAGCGAACAAAGGAATTTCTCACAAACTGATATTGTGTCAAAAAACAAAAAAATAATCAAATAATAACCATATATTTAAAAGAAGGCCTGCTTATCATTTAAGGCAGAAACAATGGATGTAAAACATACACCTCCAAGAACAATATGAAATACTAAGTAGTAAATGACAGTTGATTTTGCTGAATTTTGTCCTGACAACACCTTCGCTCTTTGGGAAAGCCAGATTTCTCAAACCTGAAACCTTCTGTAATCACACTGCAGTTTTGATGAAGCTTCTGTCATGGAACATTTCCCAGCTCCAGGACAGTACTGATGCTGAAGCCAGAAAGAAGATTAAATATTTCCAACAAGATCCCTCTTACTGCTCCCTTCTCCCTAGGCCAGCCAGTAGCTCACCAGCTTACAGCACTCACAAGGTTGCAGAAATAGACCCTAAGCTGCTCCACCAAGCTATGAATTACTCTTCCAGAAGAAGAGCAACAAGGCAGGATTTCTTGGCAGGACAAGGAACTATTCTCACATATAAGTCTCTGCCTCCCCACCCCATTACTTAGTTGCAGCTGTCAACAGCACAGAAACTCTAATAAAGCCTGAGAGGCAATCTAATCTGTACTCGTCAAGTTTGCAGGGGTCACCATATAACATGCATTTAATGTGCCTTTGCAGTGGGCAAAAACCCAAGGCTGGTTGATAAGGCTTTGCAGCCCCTTCATACAAGATTAATGGGTAGGAGCTCCTGATAATGAAACATTCTTTTTCTTGGCCAAGATTGCTGTAGGCTCACAAAACAACAACAAAGGGTGTAGTACCATACTTCATATCTTATTCCAGCTCCCAGTCTTTTAAAGACTAAAACTGGAAGGAATTAAGTTACCAGAAGCAGCTCAGGAAAGTCAGAGTATGAATCCATAAACATTTACAGAAATTGAGAGATTTAAGTGATGGACTTCTCAAAGATTGGATTACCTAAACTGCAAAGACATCTCAAACAAAATGAAGAAGTGCACTATCTTGTAGGTGGAAATCTAAGGAAACTACAAGAAAAGGCCACAACAAGGCAAAATGTACAGAAAGAGGAATAGAAATCCTCTTAATCTCTGTAACACAGCATAGGATTATTACTGGTAAAAGTACAAACTAGAGAACAAGTTAAAAGAAACCACCTATACTAAGGGGAAAACAATGGGCAATGACTTGGGAAATACCAACTTCAAAACTGAAAAAGGCCTTAAGACTGAAGGCAGCAATGTATAAAAAGTTAAAAATTCTACCCAAATCTTCAGCCTGTCTGCACAGTTTTAGAGGGGAAAGCCAGAGACACACCCATCATTAATGTTTTTTTCTCCTCCATTGATTTAGGTACCACTAGGCAGAATGGACTCAGAAACTGCACAGTTACACAGGCTGAAGTCTGGGCTTCTTTGAAAAAGAATCTTCCCTTGACTGTAACATTAAGTTAGAACAGCATCAGTTACCAGGAGAGCCAGGGAGGTACCAGAAGGAACCAGTATCCTGATCAACCACCGCTATTCTCTCGCCCTGCATCAGGGAAGAGAACCCACTGGAACAGGCACCACTGGCACGATGGGCCCAGATGCAAAGCTTTCAGACAATCTCCAAGCTCTCAGGGACTGCCTGACTGGCAGAAAAAAATTAACAGGCTCACGTGTCTGGCTTGAACGATTTCCCCTCCCGTTTGGTGGGATATTGTCACAGTTTCCCTGGAACTAGAAGAAAATATTACGCAACACGAGGTATTTGCCAAGAGAAACCGTTTCAGGCAAGGAAACGCCTCTGTGCAAAACGACTGAAACTTGAGCTTCAGGACAGAGAACATGGACAACAATTTCAAAATATCTAAAAGTGATTTAGACAGAAAATTTCATGGTACTAACACCACTAGAAATTATGACACAGAAAAACCTAAAAGCTCATAATGGCTCAAGCTCCTCGAAGTGGGGATTCATTAGCACTCAGCAGCTTTCAGTTTTTTCACTGGTAGCATTCATTTTCATCACACCATGCTTCAGATGATGTAGAACTGAATGATAATTTAGGTTTACCAAGATAAAGATGCCTATATAAAGGTACCAGCTGAGTCCAGACAGATAAAACTAGAATTGCTGTCTGGCTGCCAGGTCTGGCACTTGGACTTAATACAAAGTCACCTCTGAATTCAAAGCAGCAAATTCACCACAAATATTTTATACCCTCCCTAAACTCTAAAACCTAAGGCCAGGCTAGAGGGTGAGGGTGGCCTTTAGCAGAGATGAATTTTATGATACATGAAAGCTTCATTATATCCATCTCCCACCCAGAGGATAATCCATACAGTGAGCTGGGGTACTAAAAAAGAGCAATGCAAGTAGATCAATGGGAAGCTGACTCTCAGAAATACCAAATACAAAATACTGTCTTGGTATACTCCAGGCTTGCAAGTTGTCTTAGTTTTATATAAAACTTGCTATTCCAACTTTCAAGTATAATCACAACAGAGCACTTGAACTCTCATGCAGGAATGGAGTCTCCTTAGCATTTCAACAATGCTGAAACTTTTAGTATCAGCATCATCCAGAACTGAAGGAAACCCTACCCATTTCACAATAATTGTTTCCCAACAGAAAGGACTGTAAAAATGCCAACAATGTGGATCGAGACAGCGCTCTCAAATGCACAGTTTAAGCCTCCTAACAAATAGGGAAGGAAAGGAAGGGAAGGGAGAGAGGGGAGGGAAGGTTAAAAAGATGGCCAAGTTTATTTCTGGTCACTGCAGCTAGACTAGCAAAATCTTTTTGTCTGTCCCAGCCTGAGTCTACTGAAAAAAATGCAGTCTTTCATGGAAGCACAGCTTCATGCCTTTACAGGCTGATTCACCAGAGGCTTCTGGACAAGTTTAATTTCTTTATTCAAATAACCCTCACACTGTGGGAGTGTTACATGCAACACCCTTCCTGTCACACATGCTTTTACTATTGGGTTTTCTGTGCACTCTCTCCCCTCTACATCCCATGTAATGAAAAGCTGGTTTTATTGACCTTGCACCAGAGCCAGAGATGGGTTATGCAGAGGTACATGCAGCTCTCACTGGCTTGCAGTCACCTTTTTCTTCAGTTTCTTTGTTCTTCTCTTTTTCAATTTGATCTCTTGTATGCCTTATACTGACAGTTTCTTCCACAAGGGGTGTTGTCACTCCTTTACACACACACTCACACTCTTGCTTGCACTCTCGGTTTGTTTAAGTACATGAGAGAGCACTGGCAAGAGAAAAAGAAATACACACAGCATGGGCTTATACCCAACCTCTTCTCCAGACAGCACATTTTATCTACATCATCTTGAAAGCCTTTTCTGTTGGACTAGCTATCACCTCATACTACAAAATGGAAAAAAGCTCCAAAGTCATATTTGAAATTGTGCCAGCTGAGCCAGCCCAAGTTGAACAACAAGAGCTTTGCTTCTTAGTAGTTAGAAAGACAGAGAACTCTACAGCATCTGTAGTGCAGAGGTCAAAATAAAGACACTGGAGGGCATGTGAACGAATTCCAAAGGCTTCCTGTTCACATCAAGTTCCTTCCAGCACAAGCATGACCACTAGTTTCCAGGTGCAATCAGTAGAGCAGGCCCATGGCTCTACCCAGCCTCTACTTTCACCATATTCATGTGCACCCCCAGCACACACCCCTGTTCACACTTTAGTCACTACTCTCCAATGCAAAGTTCCTTCTACTTAAACAAGCACTTATACATTAAAGTGGCCAAGAAATTACTCTTTACTGGCATTTTATATGACAGAGATTTATTTCATTGAAGAAGAAATGCTAAAATAACATTTCAGCCTCCTTTATATAGGAAAAAAGTTCCCTAAGCTCAAGCAAAAACAGAGTTAAACCAACATCAAAAGAGTCTGTAAATAAGGCCATCTTCCAGTGCCAGGAGACTGCTAATTACCAGAGGTTTCCTTAATTTGGTGCTCATTTAAGATTTTGTTAAGTATGCTAAATATGTTGTTTGAAAAGGAAAATAATCAGGAATAAGAACAGCTTTTATAAATGCATGGTTCAAATGTAATCAATCTTTCAATAATCTACTATAACTGATGTACAAGCAACAAAATAGCTCTGGAACTTCATTACAAGAGTAAGATTTTTATTTTCTCTCAGTAGAAATCATTATTTCCTTGTCATGTTCTTCCATGAACAAGGAAACTGTTCTGAATAGTCATTTGGATTTTTCTGCTTTACATGTAAACACTTCCCTCTTCTGCAGAAGACACTTGCATGTGAGCTACACACTGACATGCCAGTCTTTCAGAGTGCCACTGATGATGCTATTAGTGACACTGAGTGAAAAATCACAATACTACAATAAATTTGATTTAAAAAAAATAGAAGAAAAAAAAACAAACCAAAAGAGGAGGAAGGAGGAAGAAAATAAAAGAAATGAGCAACTGAAGAAGAGGGGACTGGAAAGCAATCAGATACGTACCTCCTAATGCAGAATAAGCAGAGACAGCCAGTCACAGAACAGAAAGGTGATAGGTCATAGGCCATAAGGAAAACAAGAAGGCACATTTAAACCACTCATTAAAAATCATAGCCAAAACCAAACCAAGAGAAACTCACAAATAATATGGAAAAATAAAGACATACAAAAATAACTATTTGAAGAGGTATTTTTTTTGTAGACAGAAAACTGAGCTGAAATTTCACGCAGTTTTCTGAAGTGACTTTATGGAGACTTTGTTATTCATCAGTCACAGGATGTGGAACATAACATAATGCATTTCCTTTTTGATGCCGAGTTTTTATTTCTCGTATATCAGAAATAAAACTCCAAAGTTTGAAACAAGACTGCTAATTTGGGTATGAAAAAATAAGTAGTAACAACCTTCAGATGTAAAGGAGTTACTAACTTTGTTTCACGCACTTTAAAATACAAATTGCAAAGACAATCCTATTACCTTCACAAGAAAGCAAGATACACAGAAGCAGCAAACAAGGAACAAACACACAGCAGCAAAACTGCCCTTATAACTAACCTAATTTCAGCAGCCAACCTTCTCTATCTGGATTAAAAAATGTATGCGTTAGATCATTCCCATCATCCTCTGGAATTTTAAACGGCTCATTCTTAATACTTTCATACAAATTCTAGAAGAATAAAAAAAAAAAGAGGAAAAAGACTTCGTTAATAAATGTCTGACAGAAAATGCAACCAGGACATCTTCTCAAATTATTTCTATAAAAGCATAGGAAATACTGTCCATAAAATTCTGGACCATACCTTCTCAACCACTGTTTACTACTTTGATTCAGTTTTACTTTAGATTACTTCAACTATGAGCAAATGTCTCTTTTTCACAGATTTTTATAAGCACTCCTAGCAAGGACATTTTATCTAACTTCAGCATTAAGTATTTCAAAGGTTTCAGCTTCAGGTCTCATTTAGCAGTAGTTTTTCCAGATTAATCTGGACTTTCAGAAAATGGTTAGACCCATCATGCTGCCTCAGAGAAGGAAGTATTTTTACTGATATCTCAAGGGACAGGAGGAGGCTCCACAAGACACATGAACAGAAATTAGAGGCAACAATAGCACTTTTTTTTTTTTTCTATCTCTGACTTACTCAGAAATACTAGTTTCTTTTTCTTTCTTTTTTTTTCATAAGAAGCAAATTCTACAATAATTTTACCATCACCAAACTACAGAGATACAGAAAGTTTTCTCTGGAATCTCTTCTCCCCAACACAGTACTGAATACAGGAAGAACTAGCTCAAAGCAGCTGTGGGTGTCAGAAAATGCTTCTTGCAGCTACCCAAATGGTAGAAAATGTTCTTTTTACTTTTCCTTGTCAAATTTGCTTGAGAGCTGTTGTACACGCTTCTAAGCTTCCTATTAAAAACACAAAGCAAGGCCTTGTCTTACTCAGTCTAACTTACCCGTAGTAATTCTTCTGGAAGGTCTCCACCTTCATTAATGCCACGATTCATAGAAATAAACCTCTCTACTGTTGGTTTATCTCTTACATTGTGGTTGTGCAGACTGGTATTTAACATAATGATGGCAAATGAAAGCACGTAGCATGTATCTGAAAGAAGATTTGAAAAATTAGTTGTTTTTTTCAATGTGTTTGTGGCACAAACCTGTAAAATGAACATATCATTCATCCTGGCTGATAAAGGTAGTTGAACAATATACACTAAAGCAAAGCCTTGAATCTTTCTTTAAACTGTTCAAGTAAACCTAAGACGACAAAATATGTAACAATTCAAACTAAAAGCCAGTATGGGAATATACAGTACATTGTAATAATAAAAATATTTCAACTCTCTGAAATCATTGCTATTAACCTAAATCAGCATGTCAGTTGAAACACTGAAGTGTTGTTTGGCAAAATGTTCTCTGCACACAGATTTTGCTCTGTAGATCCTGTAATAGGCTTGGTCAATCAGACACTATTTCAAAGTACTTCCAAAGCTTTCTCCAAGGAAGACCAGTCTCCTCAAAATACCATTTGAAGTGCATTTAAACAGACTGAAAATGGTATCAACTCAATTTCTTGGCATACGCAAGCTGGCTAGTACCACTGAGTAACAGCAAAAGATGACAAAGGAGATCTTATCATGCCTCTTGACATTGTTATGATTACAGTAAATTCTCTCAGAATTCAAGTGCAAGATCCTGTGTAAGAAAAAGCAGGATGGAAACCTCTCTGCTACATAGAGGAAAAATGTGTTTGCATCTTCAGCATTTTGTTTTCAGTAACTGTTTTTCTCTCTAGCTGTTGCCAGACCTGCTTTACATTAACCTTTTCCTAGCCTATTTGCTTCTGAAGCAAGTGATAACAGCAAGCTAAGTGTGTCTATAACTAGACAGAACAACTGCAGAACATGAGGGCATTCTGTGCAGTGTCAGTTTTGTTAGCTTTTATGAACTCAGTGATCCTGAACCATGTAATTCAACAGAAAAATGAGGTGCATTTCAGAGACACATTATTGCTGAGGAGATTACTAAGGAGAAAGGATACAGTTCTTATAACAAAAATGGATTACTTTCTAGGTAACGTACTATAGCCAAATACAGGTGGAGTTGACACAGAAATAATGAGGTGTAAAGTCCTTACAACTGACAGATGAGACTGGCCAACCTATTGGATTCTTCTGCCTTTAAGCACCTAAGAATCTTACTTTCCCAGTTCTTAGCCAAAACCTTTAGTGACATTTCTAAAGTGTGTTTTATACTAATTGCCTTAGATATATATTAATGATGAAGTTTTACAAATGGAAATGCATTCTGACCAGCAGCTTGCACCTGCTGGAAACAACATGTAGGATGAGAGAGTCGCATGTTCTCAGTTCTCAGAAATTTCTCATTTCACATTATTATTTTATCCTGAACTTCCAAATTGGCCATTGTTGCATCAGATGTAGAACACATTTGATACAAAAAGATTTTCTTATATATATATACACAAACACACACATTCTTAATAATCCCTATTGTTTCCTGTAACCAACCTGTAGACTGGAAGACTCCGGGGTTACAAAGGCAATACCGCGAAGCAAAAGCTTCCATCATACGATCAATTTTTTGAGCCTCTCCTGGGAGTCTGAAGCTCCACAAAAACTGCCTACAGAAGGGAAGAATGGCTGTTAGACTCATTCCAGTATTTATACGTTAAGCATATATTACTAATCTTTAGAAAAACAAAACAAAACAAAAAACACATCCCAAAATACCAGCAATGTCTATGTAAAATGTCCAGAAATGTTTTCTCAGTCTCTCAACACACAAGTCAGGAGCTACTATAAAGCAACATGCACAGATGGCTAGCCCAGAAACTCAGCCAGCAACACTGCATGCTATCAGGCAAGGTAATATGGCAGTTCTTATCCTGAGAGTCTCTCTTTTTTCCAGACTAGTAAACAATTTTCTGTATGCATCCCATTTTCACCATGAGAATGCTATGGGGAAACAATCAGTTCAATTCACCCTGGGTTTCCTGGCTACTGAAAGCAATAAACATTCAGTTAGTGTTTACCCACAGTGTAAAAAGACACATTACATAAAATATTTCTGGTAGGGGAGAGATGCAAGGAATACAAACACTTAACATCTTTACTTGAACTCCTCAAACATTCAAAATATAGTATTAACAAGAACCCCAGTGCTTAGAGAGGTGCTGTCTGTCTAGTATAAGTTCACTCTACATGAATCAGGCCCACATCTTAAAAGTAAAGACTCATTATATCACCCCAGTAATTTTGTAATACATGCAGGAGATCTTGTGCTCCTGTTTAGCAGCAGGAACTGAAACAGTTTTTGCATTCATACCTTATTATTTCTACATATAGGTACACTGGAATGCATACAGCACAGAAATCTTCACAAATACACTTTTGGCACAATGTGGCACTAAAAAGCTCCAATAAATTTAATCACTCATTTATTTTAATTTTTTTTTCTTAGCAAAAGAAGTATCTAAATTAAAACAGGATCTAAACCAGCAAAGTTACATGCTTTGCCATGCAAAACAACTTCTCAATATTCCCTGTATGCTGGGTACCAATATAATAATAATCTACTCCTGTGTTCAAAATTTATTTTTTTTAGGACATTCTATTAAAGTGTCTCAGGCCATCTCCAGTTTGTCAGCACCATGTGCTGCCTTTTACTCACCTCGTGCAAGGTTCCAACCCAGATCACGAATTTTGTAAGCTACCAAAATACAAACATTTAATAGTAGCAGCTGCTAAGGAAGAATAAAGTCAAACCTAACATTAAATTGGGTAAAAAAGATAGGAATATGAAGCCTCCCAGACTAGCTTCAGCAGCCAGAGAAAAGGGTTCCTTAGCTCAAGCCTCAGGCAATTCAAGTTATCACCACATCACTCAACCATAGCAAAGCTGTTCTGACTTCACATCACAAGGCTCTGCACCAGAGACAAAGATCACATGGACATTTCAATTTATCTGATGTCAGGAGGGAGTCACTAGTGGCAGCAAAGCTGGCAGAACTGTCTTACATCAGCTTCATTTGCTAGAGCTGTTACAGATTTCCACCAAGATGAGAAGGGACTCAAGGTCACTATATGCTGGCATCCCAGAGAAACAAATAAACTGTTCACTCAGCAAGGCAAAAAAACTATACTATGATATTACACTTTCTTTTACATGACAAGTGGGAAAGTCTAAAGGAAGTAGAAGGGATTTGTTTTCTTTTAGCTACCTCTGTGCTAACATATAAAACAGATCCTCAAATATCCACATATGGCAGGCAGACCAGAGAGTTACAGCTATGTTTTAGTTGTTTGTATTTGTCTGAATTAAAAATTTTCACCTCCCAAGGCAGCAGACACACAGGCAGTTGGGAGGGTTAAACCAGAGCTATCTGCTAACTTGCACAGTAATGCAGGTAATTATGCTGAGATTTCTGAGGAACAAATCAACACAGTGACTCACATCAATGTGCAATTTGATAAAGGAAGCTCAGGTCAAAAAAAAAAGAAAGAAATAATTTACTCACCTTAAGGCTTGTACAAGATTGAGATCAGCGAACTCATGGAGTTCAACAAAAGCCTGAAGAACTTTAATATTAAATTCATCTCTATGAAAGACAAAAATGGAAACAATTACAATTCTGAACTTTAAAGGCTTGTTAGTTACCTCTATTGGGTCCCAAGAATAAGCAAGGAAATAAGTGATCATACTGAGCAAATAAAATAATCATAATTTACTTAAGAAGTATTTTAATATTTAACACTAGTATTTTGCCTAGTTTTGCTGGCGTTAAACAGGCAGGTTAGCAAGAGCCAGTACACCTGAAATTATTTTAGCACAGCTTATTTAAATGCCCCCAAACCAGCCTGACCTTCTTTGTTTCATATGTCTTGCTAGTGCATATGATGATACCTGATAAATATATCCAGTAAAAAAAAATCTTGTGGAAATTTTGTCATGAACTCTTAAATCCAACAATAATTTTAGCCGTACAACACAAAAAAAATAAACCACCCCATTTTTTCTTCTAAGTACTGAAAAATGTAAAGCAGTATATTAATTTATGTACAAAGATGAGGAACAGAAATGCTTCAACTGGTTGTACTTCAGAAAAAAGAACAGCTTTTTAAAGGAGCTACTTAATATGTAGTATATTCTCACTCCATTCTAAAAACATAATTACAATAGAAGTTACTAAAATCAGAATAAATTTTGAAAGGGCTTCTTCTCACTTGTCTTTTATATTGCTAAGTAAAGCTGTTTAAATACAGAAGAAATATTTTAACATTAATGAGAACAAAATTATTGGTTAGTCTACACCACTGAGTTCATATGCCAGAAGCATGAAGGCTTATAATCCTCAGGGTGTGCTTTAAATACATCACCCAGACAGAATGTTGCCTATCAGCCTCCTCCCAAAAATAGAAAGGTGTTCACCCACCAAGAATCATCTGTTGCATTACTGACCGACTGCAGAGTCAGACTAACCTGTCACCCTCAGGAGTAAATGCCTTAAAATGAACTATTTGTTCATTAAGATGTCCCCATATTGTTTACACCCTCCCCTACTAATTAATGTAAGTGAAAAAAAAATAGAAATAGCATTTGCTTTTCCATTACCATATTACTATTATTCCCTTCACAGAAATGAAGAAACATGAAAAAAAACAAGTAGAGCAGGCTGATTGTATACATTAAAAAAATAAGCTCCTTTTAAAAGAAAACAGATTATCTTTTGGCTTCAATTGTTCCTTAAAATGGAGGGTAAGTTGCTTCTGCTTCGTGAGAGAACAGAAGCAGGATGCTAATTTTTTTTACTTCTCCTATGATTTTATTATCCAGTTGATAGATTTAGACAAAATTTCCTGATCAGATTTGCTATTCAGTGTGATCACTATATTTGTATTTCTTTAAGTCTTGAAAAATTAAGAAGAAACCACTGAATTGTATATTTATCTGTATACATGCTCAATATTAAGAAAGGCTACTTTGTATTTTCAGCATAGACAACAGTGATGTTGCATCCTGCCAGGGATGCAAAAGAGCAAGCAATAAACTTTTACATTTTAAAGGTGAACACATAAATAGTCACACAAATATTAGTGATGACTCCAGTGGTCCTGGACATACTGATAAGACCTTTCTGCACAAGTTGTGGGAATAGGGGTAGGAACACTGGAAATATTTCAGAACACGTAACTGAGGCAGAATGCAGCTCTCAAAAATGAACACACACTGCTTTATACAAGCTTTGCTAGAATTTTGCTGTTATGGGCATTAATATGTAAGAGATTTTATAATAATGACTGCCCAAATAGTCAAGAGAAACAACATAATGCTGCAATAAAAAAAAAATGTTGAAGTGTTTATATACACTGTACAGAAACTTCATAGTGATCTGTTTTCAAAAGACACGTATTACAGTGAAACCTATTAAAGCCAAGAGGAAATTGCTGAGCACACACTAAGTCCCTGACACTGTAAACAGAGCACGATGCCTCAGAAGGGATCTGCCAGAACAAATCACTACAGCAGTAGGTCCTAAATGAGTCAACTTTTAAACCTCCATAACTGGCACCTGAACCAGAACATGTGCAAGCACGTAGATGCCCGCACTCCAGCCCACACGTCACTCCTGCCTCTTTCTGCTGCCTTTTTCAAAATCAATTCCTGGGTTGCAGAGCAAGAGAAATAATTTGCCTTTCGATTGTGTTTTGCAATAGGATGCACAGATCTGCACGCTGCTTGTTTGTTGTACTGGGATGGATGAAGATACAGTGCAGCTGCCCTTTTGAGACTCCTGCTTACTAATGGGAAGAAGGCAACAATAAAACCTGCCCATAACTATTGTCCCAGGAACTACCCATTTTAGTGAGTGATTTCTTTACTACCCGATTATTAGTGACTGTAAATCACTCCTTATCTGGGCACAGTATCAAGAGTTACCGGAACTGTTGCAACACAACTCTCAGACATTCCTAAAACTTACGGTATTAAATTCTGCACTACAGCAAAATTTAAGAGCATTTTCTCAAAATAATAAGTTACAATTAATAATTATGCCACAATGTACACATTTAAAAAGAAAAACAACCAAACCAAAAAAGGTATCAAAGCACCATAGTAATTTTGCTTCTTGCTGTAGCTTTTGAAGATCTCAGAGTGTAGCAGAGCAGCTCCCCCATGCAGCCTGGGAAGGGGAAGGTAGGTACCAAAACCCAGAAGTGTGCTCAAGAAAAGAAGTTTCAATAGTTTTACTTTACCTTTCACCGAGGTAATCTCCAATTACCGTTTTATTTAATCCTTCTCCTTTATAAAGGAACTGTGCAATGTCTTCTGCAGTGTTCTGCAGGAGGTCATTTTCTATCAGAAACTGTATTCCCTAGGAAGAGCAATTCCAGAGGAAAAGGAATGTTATGTTTTCTTCCACAAGCATTTATGTAAATACCACTCATAACATTGGGTATTAATATACTGACACAGACATATACACAGCACATTAAGAATTACATTAGCCTACAGAATTGTTTTCAGTGAAATGGTGAACAGATGTTTTTCAGTTAGATAACCTATATTTAGTACTGGTTAACATGAGAACATATTTTTAAGGCTAGAAGTATTAGGTGGCAGTTTGAATCCCTCAACAATATAAATTCAAAATATTAATTGAATAACGTTTACATGTAGTTCTTTGGAGTTTATGTAGGAATTGGCTTGTTCACAGTATTGCATAAGCATCTGCAGGGACATAATCTGTAAAATCATATAATGAAGAGGTACGTAGGAAGAACTTAATTACCACCATGACACAAAATAAAGCATCTATTACAATCTACAAACTGCAACCCAATACATCAAGTCACTACTTGTAGTAGAAGTCATGGCTGAAGATACTGAAACCGGTTTAAAAGAATTTATGCTGACACTGGGATGATCAAGGACTTCTGGTTGTGCTGGAACTAAGCTATTCACAAAGGACTTGAGCTAGACTATTCACAAAGGACTGTTCACCAACCAGTCAAGCTTCTAGCACGAAGCCAGGAGGAGAGTCTTACCCTGTCCCTCAGTGGGTACTTGATCAAGCCCCTGGACTCCTATGCCTCCAAAAATTACTGCCCCTACAACTGGCAGACTCTGGGGAGGCCCAGAGAACTTTCTGCAAAGTGGTAAAAAAGGAGACTGAGAGTTACATAAAGGTTATGTAAAGGGTGGAAGGGATGTCAGGCCAACACTCATGGAACAGCACCCTTTGTATCCCCACCATACGCCCCAAAGATGTTGCTATGCCTGCTGATTTTATAAAAATGTTAATAGCATGCTAGTGAAAAGCAGAAATGGCAACAAGAAGTAACCTTAATGTCTTGGGACTCCAAATATGTACTGAAGAGCCTAATAAATTATTCCAAATATTTTCTAGTAGAATATTTAATCATTTCAGAAATATTATAAGTTTTTCAATTTGTGTAAATGGAACATATTTCTTTATTTCATTACAACTGGGAAAACTTCAATTATTTTTTTTATATAGCACAGGAGGCCCTGTAGTAACATTCAAAAAAGCAATTATCCTTCTGTTAGGTTGATTTTGGCTTTTTATAATAAAGTGATTACCTGCCTGACAAAAACCAGTCAATTTTCTAACCTAATTTAACAAAGAAAATGAACTGTGATGTTATAAGGCTTCAAGCTTTTTTCTTTAAAAAGTCTGGAATGCAGTTCTCTCAAAACAATTTTATCATATCTGAAAATTTCATTTCAATGACAGGCTGGTATTCTGATACTGACAACTCAGTATTTTGATAAAATCATTTCAGAAGAAACATGACTTTGTTGCAAAGAATATATCCATTTCATCTTGAAGAGAAATAGCTGAGCTTTCCTCAAAAATGATCCCTGCAAAGCTTATTTGGTAACTAAACATTTCTACAAAAAAATTATATGACCTGAAACACAATGTTTTCCCCATACCAAGTTATTAAAAAAGCTCTAAGTTCTGTCAACCAACAGAGAACTCTCCTTCTAATAAATATCAGAAACAGCAGTTGAAGATTCCCTTGTTCAACACCTGGACCTCATTACACTTGGGATAAACAGGCTAACCAGAATAGTTTAAAAAAAACCCTGTATAAGTTATTGAAAAAATAGAATGGATATGACTATATGACTAGAAGCATGGAGAACAAATTGCTGTGCACAGCAGCAGACACTTGAGCATACTTCAAAAAAACAACTCCATTTTCCTTTTTCTGGATTTTTCTTACTTTTTCTTTTCTTTCCTTTTTTTTTTTTTTTTAGTTCTTAAGATGTTAGAGAACCAGAAGTCAGGAAAAGGCATTTGTCTGGGACAACTCCACGGCTGGAATAAATGGCAGGACAGATCAGCCAAACAGGACAGATCAGCCAAACTCCCATTAACTCCTGAAATCCCTTTTGAATTGATGCAGTTTTCTTTCTGTAGCCTGACAGAGGACTGCAGGCAGCTGTACTAGTTTGACCTCTCCCCACCAAATTCATGGCTACAGAAATACTCTATATTCTCTACAGATATTGCATAGACTCTTTTTTTTTTTTTTAAGCAATGACTGCTTTGAATTTCATAGCTTTTACAGTAACTTAATTACAAATTTTGCAGTTACTTAAATGCTGCCTTTGTCATCCAGAATTCACCTTCTGGCCCCAACACAGGCAGCAAGGACTCTCAGTGCTGTGAATTTCACACACAGCTTTCTGTCTTCTGCACAGGGATCCTTGAAGTGTTTCACAAACTCAACCATGACAGCCCTTCCCACAGTAACTAAACAAACCCAAACTAGTATGTGAGGGTCCATCACCTCACTGCATTCAACAGCAATTCTGAGGGAGGATCTCCTAGGTGGGGGCTGAGAGAACTGCTCTACATATATACTAGAGCATGGAAAGGTCTTCAAATATAAGTGGAAGAAGAAAATTACCTCACTCTTTTCCTGCTAATGCAAACACATTAGATCTCTTACTTGGTTTGAAAGAAGAAAACCTGGGGGATTCAGCACCCATATTATTACCTCAGTGCTTTCACATTCCTAACTCCAGAGACCATCTTCCTTCCCACTTCTGAAGGAAAAACATCCTTCTCACAATGACCCCAAGTTTATCAACATTAGAAGGACTTACATTTTAGCTGCCTGTAATTTAAAGTAGCAGCTGCAAACAAGATGATCCAGCTTTAGAGCAGCCAGATACTGCAGGCACCACTGATTCACAGACATTATTAAGAAATTACTACTCTAAGTCTGTTTACCACATTTAAATTATATTACAGTAGCAATGCAGCCACAGCAGCTATTTATAGAAATACTTTCACCCCGCAAGAACAGTAACAAAAAATAGTTAACATTGGAATGAAAGCATCTGACATCATCCTGTGACTGCCACAAACTCCTTCGACATGAAAGAGCTGGAAGACAACAGCAAACTTCAGGGTATTTCAGGGTATCCTGCCCTCAACAGAACAGAATTTAGACAGTCACCAAAACAGAAAATAAAATAAATGGTTCAGTAGCTTAAAAAGGTTTCTCTGTCTCAAAGTACAGAGTGTTTCTGGTAAGTGGAAAACAGCCTGAAGCACGGTAGCCATCACTATACCCGGAACATTACAGAAAAGCCACCAAAAGGTGACTGAAATCAATAAAATTAGGAAGAAAACATGTCAAGAACTAACACAGAAAAACAAATGCTAAACAATTTCAAAAAGACCTTAAAGAAGACTCCTCATAAATTCAAAATGGAATCTCAGTTACAAACAACAGAAGGCAGTAAAACAAAGCAAGGAAGATGTAAAATGAAATGTGAAGGCTACAGGTCAAATGTCTAAGCAGCTCTTTTAAATATATTGGGAGAACCTTGAATTTTCCAGTAAATTGACAATTATTTAAGAAAAATAGAGGCATTCCAGATAAATTAACTTTACCTCTTGGCTAAATGCATGGTAGACTTCTTAAAAATGGTAACCAACTTTCTACCTGCAGATGTTTGTACAAGTCACGCAGGTACACATCCAGATGTGTCCATACATACAAACATACAGGTATTCATACATGCCTTTTTCAAAGACAGAATTTAGATATGCAAATATAAAGGTCTATATGAAAACAAATTTTAAACCGTGTTAAAGGTGTTCTGAAAGAACAAAAAATAAGAGGGCATAAAATAATACATATGGCTTCACTAATAACCAAACAAATATTTTTAGAATTATATTTGACATATCCACATAGAACACCTCTATCAGGTACAAATAATCTTTCTGCAAGCCAGTTCAATCAATACCTGGCATATTTAATTGTTGATAAATAACCTCCATTATCAAAAAATGTTTGCTGGAGTGAAAAAAGCACACATGACTGGCAAATGACTAGATAACTGCCTCTAATTTGACCCTCTGATCAGTGTGTTACAGGATATAAAAAAAGGCCTCTCAGCTCTTATTAACAGAAATGTTTTCTTAAGAAGATATTACTGTATTTCTCATAGATCATATTAAAAGCAGAAAATTGATTCCCAACAAGTAGAAATAAAAATTCTCCACCTTTTTAGGGTCCATGTTGAATTTCTTCCTTCCCATGGCTATTTGCTTATTTCTCTGTGTAGTTTTGCTACAGGTGGAGAAAAAGAAGAAACAACAGCCAGTTAACAGTTGATCTTTTAAAAACCAACAACTTCTGGAGGAGCTTCTTTTCATTTGCATTTTGGCTACTTTGTATTACAAAAACAAGACATTAACTTTCTATAAGGGGAAAATTATGTTACTATTTTTAATTACTTCAAGTGATTGCAGCTTGGGAACTGCATCATTATCAACTGGACAGTCTAAAACACTATGTTCCATACATTCTCTATCCTAGTGAATTACACATCTGAATAGGATAAAGTCAGGCTTTAAAGACTTCATAACAGACTGAATAAAGGTGATCCAATGCTTGTTCAGTCTAATAAAAGTATTTGTATTTGCTATTCCTGGAAGACCTGTTTCAAGGTCTTACTGAATCATGTTAATATTACTTACCTTTCTTCTACACTAGTCAGATTATCAATTTCTGTCATAACCTCAGCAATTTCAAATTTTAATCTCTGCCAAAAGAAGGAATGACAATGTTAACCTCTATTAAAACATCTCTGAAATAATCTATCAATATTAATACTATCAATTAGGTGTTACTTTCTATTATTTGCTAGTCACCTGAAGGAAAGTGATTAATCTTATGGATTCTTTAGATATTTAGGTTCAAGATTTCTACCACAACCAAATGACTGTTAAATACATGGATCTGAACTCCCGGTGTGTGCTCATGTCAGAGCATCAAGACCAAATTGACATTACAAATTTCAGTATAAGATTTCTTTACCTGGATTTCTCACTCACTCCTATCCTGTATGCAAATCTGATGCTTAATGAGTTGTTGACTACACAAATCAAATGTGTACATATGCACATTACATAAATACAGAATTACCATTTTTAAAAGCACACAAATGATGCATAAATACTACTCATTATCAGTAATGTTTAGTTGAAGCTATTGGTATGCTTTGTTTTACTTGGAATTAATACCTAGGTAAGCAGTTTACTGTAACTTAGTCTACTTTTAGGGATCTTTAATGATAAATGAATTACCTCAATATCATCAATAAGTTCTTTTTTCCTGCGACGAATATTTAAAAGCTCTTCTCTTTCTTCAATTGAGAGGTCATCAGGCACTGGGATAGAGCAAGATACACAGTCTTTTAGCATTTGCAAACACATCTCATCACAGAAAGCTGAATAAACCTGATTCAGAAAAGTACATGAAGCATCAGGGCATTTTTTTTAAGCTGGGGTCATTTGTTACCCTGCTGATCGAAATGAGGTGCTGGTGAAGACGCAGACGCGCTTCTGTGCACAGCTACGGCTGTCACTCACTCCAGCAGCCCCACACCCTGTAGTGTCTGCTGAAAAACCAGCAAATGTGAAAACTATTCACACAAGGCCTCTGCTTCTCTTGAGCAATTAAGATTTTCCCTACCAGCAAACTTCTTTGGGCAGAGGTAATTCCCACTTGTAAAGCACTAGACGTTAACTACAAATATTCACCTCCTTTGGAATGGTCTATATGGACAGTTTTAATGCAACCTCTTTCTTGGAAATAGCTCCCTAATTATGGAACAGCTTTCCTTCTAGCTCAGTAAAATGCAAAAACGAAAATAACTATTAAGATGTTTAAATGGGATGGCCAAGGCTGTTTCTTCATGTCATACACACTTGTAACAGACTGTAGAAATGGCATTACAAGCAAAGCTTCAGCTTTACAAGAGACTTTAAAAACCATATTTGAAACACAGTCTCTGTTTAAATCTTAAAAATAGAGTATTGTTAGTATTTTCAACAAAGAGTGGTTGACCTCCTTTCCTTTCAGGATTCAAATTAAAACATAAAATCCAAATGGTATCAGACCTTGCTAGACATTAAGTAATTATGGCAAATGATCTAATTTAACTACTCCAGATACAAACATAATCCAATTACTTCCAGTTTAGGAAATGACAGTCTCCTGTTGAACAAAACACAGATTTCAGTATGTTTACCTGCTTTTTCCCTTCATCAGAAATCTACCCACTCCTAAAAATTATTTGCATGCAAATACCAGTAAGATTCTTTTCACATCAAACCTTATAAATACACGTGCCTGCATCACATCTTTGGCTTCTATGTATACTCTAAGACCTTAAAACATCAAAACTCAAGAGATTGTTACGACCATATGCACACTATGTACATACACATACCACAAATATTCCAATTATTTAAACATTTAAAAAAACGAACTTTGCTATCCAGTCTTGATTATTAAAAAGGCAAACTGTGTATAATCAATCACTCTCTTAGTCAGGAAGTGCACTCAAGTATCCTTAGAGCATTTTTGCAGTATTACATCAGTAGACGAAATTAGATTAAAAATTTGCAGTACCAGTATTAGTAAGAGTTCTTCATTTTTAAACTTTTTGCTACAGCAGACATTTTGGTAACTCCCACCTTCGTTGGCAATTGGGAATACTAATCAGAACCCAAACAGAAAATAATCTTTAAGGATTAAATATTTACAATTCAGAGATGGTGTTTCATTTTTCTCCAAATTACAAAATCCCTGGATTAGCTGCTATCCCAAACTCTTCCCAAAGCAGAACAGTGGGGCTGCAGTTTCTTCTCCCTTGTGCTACCACGCAGTGAAAGCTCTCTGGGACAGGTTTGAAATATCTGAAGCAAAATTACTAGTTGAAATAAACATGAACTGTGACAGTTTTCTGTGCTCTAGCAAACCACCAAAGAGCAGAAATCACCTCAATCCTTCTGCTGCAGTACCCGGGACTGCTGTGTTTTTCCCTTTCCTCTGATCACAGCCACAGAGACACAACACTCACAGTGTAATTAATTACGCTGTTAGACGACAAGGAAATAAACTAAATGGAGTGAGACTGCCTTTTGCATTAAGAAATAACATCAAGTATCAAAAGACAAGAAAAGCCTCCTGGAAAAGAAGATTCTGCACGTGGAGAGCACTCAGAAGGCAGCAGTTGCAGAAAACTGCACATTAATGCAACATTTTTAAATAACAGGATTAATAACAGAGCACAAAGATTCCAGTATCTATTGATAAAAGATACAGGATACAACTGAGTGAGGATTACAGTACTGCTCAGCTTCCAGAAACTATTGGTATTTTACTTCCACTCACACTAGAGCAGAGAAGTAATGACTGACTTGTCAGGATGATCCCTCAGTGCACTGTCCTATTGTCACCATAAACTGGCATGAGTGCAAGATATTGAAGAAGTCTGCCTTATTCTCATCCTTCTGTTGGTTGTGTCTCATCACTGCCTCCCATCTCCAGAGCTGTTCATGCTGATGAGAAAACATATCAATTGGAAAAGGAATTCCCCAGAAAAAAGGTTCTTTAGAGTCTACCCGTGGCATTACAGCCTGCAACTTCAGGGACTGAGAGAGTCTGCTCCAGGGTCCCAGTTGTTTGAATTCTCTGTCTTAAAACAAAATTAAGCAATATTTCTGTATTTCAATAAGGGCTTTTGAAATACTAATATTGGAGGATGTGCCTGGATACCCACAATTAATTAAACCTTTACAAGTAGGGAAAAGTAAGGATCTGTGTTTTTCACATCGATTATTCTTTCTTTCTCATTGATCCCTCATTGATTCAAAAACACCTAGAAAACATTTAAATCTCTACATTCTGCTCCTAAATAGTAGCCAAACAAGAGTGTTAGCCCAGAATGCTGACATTTATGAAGACGCAAGAAACATTTTTGAGCAAGTAGGCAAAAGAAAAGTCTTCCAAGTGGAGAGAGGACTGCAACAGATCAACTTGTAAAAAGTCCCACAGGTTAGTGAAAATTAGGAGTAAATCCCATAATGGGAGACAGAAATATAGTACTTTCCAAGTCCATAGCCCTGACAATATCATTTTTTTTCAGAAGCAAAAATTAAATCTATTCCAGCTCTTTCTCCAATTGTATTATATGAACCAAAACTCCTGTGTTTAAATGTTGGATTTTTTTTATTTACTAACCTTTTGATTGGCAGTCACTGGCCAAGGTGTAAAGCAACCTCACTCAACCACTTCAACTGACTTGCAGACTTTCAAGAGGATACAGCAATATAATCCATAGCCAGCAGAAAACAAACATCTAACAATACCTAATGATACCTTACAAAGCAACACAATTCCCTGACTCTCATTGCCCAACTGACTTTTTGGTTTCATAAAGATAGATATTTTCCTTCTTCTCTGTCAGCCCCAAATTGGCGGTCTTAAGTATTTTCATTCTGAGCAATGTTCAAGTAGATGGAATTTAATTTTGCTGCAATTGAAACATCTTGCAAGTGTAAAGGCATTTATACAACGCAAGGCTTAGAACTAAACAAAACTCTCCTCACCCATACACAGAGTGGGTAGACATGTTTCTTCTGGCCTTTAAAATAATACACATTCATCTCTGAGAACAAATCTGATTGTCTCGGGACATTTGCCTCAACGGATATTCTCAGGCTATTCTCTCTTCCTTTCCCCCAACATGCTCCCTTTTTTTAAACTTAATTATAGGAACACTTTCCAGATTTCAGATGAGATGTATAAACAAAGCTGTGACCACTTGTGGCTATTAAGAATTCCACAGAAGTTTTTGTAGGAAGACATCCTCCTGAGTAGATTTATTTCACAGTGCAAAAACAAGCTGTATCTGCATTAGATTTAATAAGTAAAACTAACTAGATTTGGTTGCTTCCCTCTTTTAACTGCCTCACTGCATTAATCTTTGCTATTTAGCCACTGCTGAACATGTTCTAGCACAGGAGTGACCACACTTCCCATTAGGGGGGAAAATAATCCTGTACACAATACCCTTTCACACACAAAAACTACCAGTCAGTGGTGTGAGGAATTTAGGACTGAGTCCATGGCTTGTAGTGACTTTGAGAGATTTCAGTCACAAGGGACACAGTGGGCAGAAAGCACATTAATGGCCAAACCCAGAGGAGAACCTCAAACTTAGGTCCATCATCCTCACTGTTTAGCTGCTGGAAATCACACCATTTCGAGATGTTCCTGAAAACATTTTTCACTCTAGGATAAGGAAATACTTCACAGGCAAGTTATAGTTAAGCCCTTTCAGGCTTCTAGTAATACAGGGGAGGGGGGAAGCCTAACAATATTAATCCTATTACCACATAAAAATATGTTTTCAGGAATTTAGAGGAATGACATGACCTCTGACATGATTCACTAATCTTTCAGATTTCTCCCCCCACACTGCAAGGTAGGTTTAATTATACCACATTACCAGATTTATTTTAAAGAACAAAAACATGAACAATTGGAAATATGGAACAAATTTTTATTCTATACAGAAAAAAAATAAAAATGGCAGGCTAATTGCACAGCCAAGTGTGAAATCATTTATTGTGAAAAACAAACAGTATTTATCATAATCCATAAGAATGACTTCAGATAAGGCAAGATTATGGTTTTGTCCAGGTCAGAAGTAGTCATGTATAATGTAGTGTTAACATCCCTAGTCAAGCAGAAAGCAGGCAGTTCCAAAATAGTGCAAAATCAGCATCCAGATAACACTAAGAAGGAGGAGGGATGCTAGGAGGGGGGAAAAAAATAAACAATCCAAACCATGCATTTTACCTGCCTCTCAAAAAACCATTTGGTTTCAGCTGTGGCACACAGAAGAGTCCTGCCTCGCCATGGTACCTGCAAATGTGCTCTATGAACCACAGTAAATGCATTTTGTGAACAGGACAGGAGTTTGAAATGAACAACTGCAGCATATGTATCTGTACAAACTGTATGTAGATAACATGAGCAACAACAGCTGTGAAAGGCAAGAGTATAAAGGCTTTTCATAGCTCTCACATGAGCTGCTAACCCTTGCTGCTAGCTATTAGTTGCCCTTCTTGATGGCAATAAAGCATAAATAATTACAACAGCTTTCAGATCTTCACCTTGCTATATAGATATGTCCATGGAAAGAACTGGAGAGACATCCACCTTGCTTTTTCAGTTTCTAATTACACTATTGACACGGGTATTTGCCATTTGAAAGCAGTGTGTGTTTAAGTTAATGAGTATTTCTTTTTACTGTCCATGCTCTATTTATGAACAGGCAGTACTAATGGCCATGATGACATTTTATTTACCTCCTTTGTATCTTATATTTAATAACGCATCTTATTTAATATTTTTTATA